ATAAAATCAGATTTTAAGCATACTGAAGGTGTATTAACGATGATGCAATTCTGAAAGATTAAGAAAGTTGTAGGCAAAAGACCTATTAATGTGGCATCACAGTGAATTAAGGGGAAATTTTAGTTAGTACTGGGAAGTAGGAATCCTTGACAACATCTCGAACATTGCGATCCGGGCTTGAATGGCCGAGTGTCTAGCGCTCGGTGCCACAGGTTTCGGATTTGAGTCACGGCGGAGCCGTGGATAATTGTAGTAGTTCGAAATTCACTTTAAACTGTAGATCACAGTCTAATATCATCGCAGAGCGTAGTCTTGGGGTTTAGTCAGTCTTCAGCCCTCGTGGTTCCTCTCTAAAGTGAAGTTCACATTGATAATGTGAACTTTCCTTTAGCGTCACACTGATAATGTGAACGTCCATCATAGTCATCTTAGCCATTGCCCAGTCGCCTGTCTGCTGGAGGTAGTGAAGTCTTTTCTGCAACAGGAGGAGTAGTAAAAACAACAACATTGTGATCCAGAAGGTAAAACTTAAAGACATTAACCAAATAATCTTTACCTCATCTTATGTTGAAGGGTGAGAAATCTTTATTAATACGCTTTTATTAGTTTCACCTGTATGTTTGTTTCTTTGTAACCGACTCTTTGGGCTCGATTTTGCCCTACTTTAAGCGATCAGATTTAATTTAAACGTTGTAGTCTTATCAAGGACCGATGACACTAAAATATTTTGATGAGTTTATTATCTCATCATGATTAGGATCGCCAGGATGCGTGATTTTATTTTAACTTATGAAGAGCAATTTAACCCGTGTAGAATGAAAGTACCCAAGACATTCAAACCTGTGTGGGACAGTGGCACAACGGATAACGCGCCTGACTACAGATCAGGCGATTCCCTGTTCGAATCCTGGCTGGCTCGACATATTCGCATTTCGCCTATCTTTTACTCACAGTTAAATTATTGTAAGAACAATATTTCCAGTCCTCGATACAGGGACCTCATTTAAATATTATAGTTTAAAAAACTAAAAAACATGCTTTTAGAGTTAATCAAACTAAAAAGTAAAAAATAAATTATAGTTTTAAAACACTAAAATACACGCGTTTAGATTTAATCAAACAAAAAAGTTAAAAATAATTGTTAACATAAGAACAAAATTACTGAAGAGAAACTTAATGTAACTGTTCAAAAAGCGTGGGGCGCTTTGTATGACATTTTAAACAAACTCTGCATTTCGTAATGAAACTAGTGAAAAAATATAATGATTGATATCGAGCACCCCACGGTTTTGGAACAGTGACATTCAATTTTCTCGTCAGTAATTTATTCTTATGTTGAGAATTTTTTTTACTTTTTTGTTTGATTAACTATAGAAGCGTGTTTTTTAGTCTTTTTAAACTATAATTTATTATTTAATTTTTTAGTTTGATTAACTCTAAAAGCGTGTTTTTTAGTTATTTTAAACTATAATTTTTTTTAATTCTATTTATAATATTTATTGAATATAGAATACGAGATCTATTTCTCTGTTGTTTATTTGTTGTTTCTTATCCCGCTTGGTAGACAGCAACATGCCACTTTGGAGAGGAGTGTATATAAAGAATTCCACTTAATACCACTTAAATACCACTTAATACCACATTCCACACTCCACTTAAAGCCAGAATATACAAGAGTGTATATTCTGTCTTTTGACAGGTGGTCACATTAATGTGACTGTATATAGTATTTATATTACTTTATTATTATTAAATTATATTTAAATGCAGTGATCTGTCGCAAAGTTAAAATAAAAAACTCTCTTCCGTTTTGAAAAATAAAATTGAAAAATTAAAATAAATTAAAGACGAAAGGGAAAAATAAATTCTTCAACAATATATGTAAAAATATTCACATTCCGCTAACTAGAATGACGTGTATCACTAGGCGATGTAAAACGTATTCGTGCGCATCTATGGTTACCACAAACCCAACGCCAACGGCGATAGTCAGCTCAGTCGCCGCCTATCGCTGTTGGCGTTGACTGTGGTTAGTTTTGTTTGGTTTGTTGCTCTATGGTCATCTTGTGCACACTTTTAGGCTAAACAGACCGGGATCTACAGTTTAAAGTGGATACCGAAATACTACAAACATCCATGGCACCACCGGGACTCGAACCCGATGACTGTGGTTAAGATAGAGTTCGACCTGTCCCTATGATCGAAATCTCTCCGTTTATTCTGAAATAGCTGCAGTCAGTCTCTATATATTTATGAGGGACGTGGAAGCCCATAGTGGGCTACCATAAGCCCAAATAGGTCTAGAAGCTTGTGTTTGATCGCTAGCCTACTCTTGCGAGAAATTAGGCCAGCAATTCTCCGCCTATTTTCGGCCAATAGGAAGAGCGCAATTTTTGTTTCTTCTAATGCAGCTAACAAACACTTAGACAACTGTCTTGGATGCCTTAAGGCAAGCGCTGCACAGACGTTACTCACTTTGCATTACCCAGGGGTGCGTGTAACTTGGAGATAAGACATGGACGCGGAGTAACAATACCCCCGCAACACTCTACGATGCTATTAGACCGGGACCTACAGTTTAAAGTGGATTTCGAATCACTACAAACATCCATGGCAGTGCCGGGACTCGAATCCGAAATCTGTGGTACCGAGCGCCAGAGCATTAGCAGCTAAGCCATTTAGGCCCTGCAAGAGCGCAATTCAACTACGAAAACGCAAAAATCCTACCCGGGGTAGAAGGTAGCTGGCAACTGGCGTACCGATTACATAATACCAACAGGGGAAAATACCCCCTTATACCTCCTCATCTTAATTCATAAATATGATTTGAATTATAATGGGCTGCTTTAAGGTTAGTAACAAAAAAATGAAAGGATAAAGTTTCTAAAAATTCAATTAATGTGGTACTCAAAAAAATTTAAAAATACTAAAAATAAATAAAAGTAAAATGTTGTTCTAATGCAGCTGGCAAACATTTAGACAGCTTGGTCTTGTATGCCTTAAGGCAAGCGTTGCACAGACGTCACTCACTTTGCATTCCCCAGGAGGCGCGTGTAACTTGAAGATAAGCCACGGACGCGGAGTAACAATGCCCGCGCAACGCTCTACGATCCTGTTAGGAGCGGGACCTACGGTTTAAAGTGGATTCCGAACCACTACAAACATTCATGGCACCGCCGGGACTGGAACCCGAAACCTGTGGTAACGAGCGCCAGAGCGCTACCCACTCGGCCATTCAGGGCCGTAAAATACAAAATAAAAGAAATTAAAGTTAAGTTTAAATTCGGTACAATTAGGGACCAGTTGTCGATGCCATAAGACTATTGAAAAACGTAAACAATGCAGTAAACAAACCAGGAAAGGGTTATGCTGAACGGTGGGAGTGATGGTGTTGATGTGAAAAGCAAATAGTTAATTGAAAATCCATACAAAAAAAAAAACCGATCTCAGAAACTCTAAAACTCTCTCTTTTTATTTATTTTTTATTTTTTATTTGGGGCCGAATGGCTAGCGCTCTGGCGTTCGGTACCACAGGTATCGGGTTCAAATCCCGACTTTGCCCATGGGTCTTGTAGTGGTTCGGAATAAACTTTAAACCGTATGTCCCGGTCTCATATGATCGTAGAGCGTTACGGGGGCACTGTTACTCCGCGTCAGTGGCTTATCTTCAAGTTACACGCACCTCCTGTGTAATGCAAAGTGAGTAACGTCTCTGCAGTGCTTGCCTTAAGGCATCCAAGACCAAGCTGTCTAAGTGTTTGCCAGTTGCATTAGAACAAAAAGAAATTTTTTTTTTATTTTCCTTTTTTAATAATTTTTTTTTCAATCCTTTTGTTTTCCTTACAAAAAAAAAGGGGTAAAAAAAAGCGCACAATAAAAACCTAATTTAATTACTAGTCGGAAAGGGGAGAATTTAGGTGCACAACGTAGCAAAAATTGCGAAAGGAGCTGAGTTCAGTTTCAAATCCTCAACCTCGCGGTCGGAGATCCGATTCTTTACCTCTGTGCCAGTTCGTCTTTTTTAATGTAAGGTCGATATTTTTTAAGCCAAAGTAACCGTCAAATACACAATGAGTTAAATTGTCTCAGGGAACGAGCGCAATTCAACTACGAACAAGTAATATAAAAAAAATTCTTTTTAAAGTCAATTCCTACTTTTTTTTAATGATAAGGTGAGTTTTAAATAAATACAGAAAAATCTTTCATAATATTTTATTGAATTTATAAAGGGCAAAGATATTTTATTATAAATTTTCTTTTTTTTTTTTATAAAAATTAACTTGTAAGAAAACTTGAAATAAATAATTCAATGATTAGAAGAACACCGATACATATTGGAGATTTAAAAAAAATTCAAGATATTATCAGAATTACAAAATATTTGACTATTTCTTGACTATTCTATATAGTTATGTAATAATTTGACAAAATGTACAGGACAGTTATAAAAAAGTAATATAAAAAAAAAAAAATTTAAGTCAACTCCTACTTTTTTTTTCACTATATTGCAGAAAATCCTTTATAAATAATATTAATTCATTTTTTAAAGTTTATCTGGCGCCATCTATTGGTAGATACATGCAACTTAAAATGTAAAACACAACTAAAATTAATTACTTAAAATTAATGAATTAAAAAAAAATATGAATGAATAAATTAATGAATAAATTAATAAATTATTGAAAAAAAAATGTATTTGAACGTTGTTTGTTTTGTTGTTTTTTTATCCCACTTGGCTGGCCAAGACCACGAGCCCATACGTACTCATGATTGAAGGGGAAGGAAGCAGCTTCTGTTGCGATGGATCATCCGTAGGTAGAAGTCTGACTTTGGCTCCGTGACGCTCTTACAGTCACAGGAGACCGGGACCTACGGCTTAAAGTGGATTCCGACCCACCACAAACATCCATGGCACAGCCGGGATTCGAACCCGAAACCTGTGGCACCGAGCGCCAGAGTGCTAGACACTCGGCCATTGAGGTCCCAAATTTGTGAATGCCAACAGCACGCGGTGTTCCCAGGTGGTCACCCACCCAAGTACTGACCGCGCCCAATGATGCTTGACTTCGGTGATCTAACGAGAGTATTTGAACGAAAAGTATTTTATGAACGATTGAAAATTTGAGCAAGATATATATAGGGAGAGTGTGAGCTAATAGAAGGAATTGAAAAAAAGCAAAAGATCCTATCCGGTGTAGAAGATGGCTCTCTGCCCTATCCTCTACGTGAAGGCGTTCGGCATCTTTCGCTTTTGATTTTTAGACCAATGAAAGCGCTCCGCTCGGCTTTGTTGCCCGCGTCTGACTCTTGTTCTTTATTTTCCTTTCTAACCCTTTTATCTACGCATTTGAGTTTTCTTTCTGACTAGAGTCTAAAATCTAATCCATGAATTCTCATCAAAGTGCAAAGGATTTAAAATCTAAAATTTTTTATTTTATTCTTTTTAATTATAACAATATATATTTTTTTCTTTCTAATGCAGCTGGTAAACACTAAGACATCTTGGTATTGGATGCCTTAAGGTTAACGCTGCACAGACTTTACTCATTTTGCATTATCCAGGGAGCGCGTGTAACTTGAAGGTAAGCCACGGACGCAGAGTAACAATGGCCCCGCAACGCTCTACGATCCTATTAGACCGGGACCTACGTTTTAAAGTGGATTCCAAAACACTACAAGAATCCATGGCACCGCCGGGACTCGAACCCGAAACCTGTGGTACCGAGCGCTAGCCACTCGGCCATTCGGCCCCATTATCACAATATATATTATTATATATTTTAATCCCCTGAGCTATGTTTCATACTAATTAACATACATAATATTACTATTCTTATAATTATTTAATTTCTCTCTTATGTTTATTTCTCCTAACGTTAACTACTTTATTATTAAATTAAGTAAAAGGGATTCCTGTCCCTTGGCACTCCGCAACCACACTGCGGTTATGGATTGCCGGGTACCAAACGCCAGAGCGCTAGACACTAGCCACTGCCTGGTGGCCAAGTGGCTAGCGCTCTGACCTTTGGTGTTTCAAGTTCGAATCCTGGTGGTGGCATGGCTGTTTGTTAGTGGTTCGGAATCCACGTTAATTTATAGGCCCTGGTTTGTTTAGTCTAAAGTGTACAGCAAGATGACCACAGAGTGACAAAACAAACCAAACCATAACTCCCACTACCTTTGATTTTGTTAGAAGATACGAAATGGCTTTCGGACTTTGCATTTTTCACAGATCTTATTTGTCATATGAACAACTTGAATGTCACGATGTAAGGGGAAAACCAATCGCTGGTATCTGAACCCATCTCAAAGCTTTTAAACTAAAACTTAATCTGTTTGCTGGATAACTTGATAAGAACGACTTGTCTCATTTCCTGAGGTTTAATTCAACACCCTCAGTAAATGAAGAGAACCTCAAAAATTATGAAGATGGTTTGAAAAAATTGCATTTTGAGTTCGAACGTAGATTTCAAGATTTCAATGCCATTCGAACACAATTGGATATCTTTTCCATGAATTTCAACGTAAATTGTGAAGCAGGTTAAAGATTTTCAGGAGGCAGGATTTGCAGGTTGAATTAATTGAGTTACAATCTAACAATCATCTCAGGCAGTTGTTTCTAAGTATGCCAAAGTTAGAGTTTTACAAATCATTATCGAAAGTAATTTATCATAAATTTAATATCTCACACCCAGAAAATAAGTGCTATGTTTGCTTCATCTTATATATGGGTACAAGTGTTTCCAACTACGAACCTTAGAATGAATTATTGCAGAAGTAGACTGACAGATGAGCATTTAGCCTCATTCCTTAGAATCAGTACATCTGACTTCGAACCTCAATATAAGGAATTTTTAAAAATGAAATCGTAATTTCATTCATCTCATTAACGTATTTAAATTGTAATACTTGTATATTGTTTTTAAAATTTTAGAAAAATTTATATTGTCCCGCCAAACTTTTTTTTTTTCGATTTTTGGCCCGCGACCGATAAACTTTGCCCATGCCTGGTCTAAAAGGTAATTTGAAAACAAATGAAGAAACGATGTTCATTTTCTAGTCATTTTTTATTACACAATATTATTTACGAATACATTTACAATAATTAATTATGTAAATAGATTCACTGTTCCGCTGCGTCATGCAGCTATCCGCTCTCTGCCAACCTTGCTCTTTAGCGACCTGCCGCGGCTTGATGGCCAACCGGCTAGCGCTCTGGCTGTTGGTACTGAAGGCATCAGGTTCGAATCCTGGCGTTGGCATGAATGTTTGTTGATGGTTCGGAATCCATGTTAAACTGTAGGTCTCGATCTGTTTAGAATAAAGTGTGCACAGAATGACCGTAGAGCTACAAATCAAACCAAACAAGTGACCTGCCCGCTTCTCCTGAGGTCAAGCAGCCTGATAACCAATGGCTAGCGCTTTGGCCTGTGATATCTCAGGCTTCAGGTTCGAATCCTGGTAGAGGTATGGATGATTCATAGTGGTTCAGATTCCACGTTAAACTGTAGGTCCCGATCTAATTAGGGTAAAGTGTGCACGAAATAACCGTATTATTAGCAGATGGCGTCACTGGACCGTATTTGTAGATTGGGAGTTTTCCCCATGTATGGGCTTAAATTGTAGATTCCGATCTAATTAGGGTAAAGTGTGTACGAATTGACCGTATTATTAGTAGATGGCGTCACTGAACCGTATGCGTAGATTGGGAGTTTTTCCCATGTGTGTTCTCAAACTGTAGATTCCGATCTAATTAGGGTAAAGTGTGTAAGAATTGACCGTATTATTAGTAGATGGCGTCACTGAACCGTATGCGTAGATTGGGAGTTTTCCCCATGTATGGGCTTAAACTGTAGGTTCCGATCTAATTAGGGTAAAGTGTGCACGAATTGACCGTATTATTAGTAGATGGCGTCACTGAACCGTATGCGTAGATTGGGAGTTTTTCCCATGTATGGGCTTAAACTGTAGGTTCCGATCTAATTAGGGTAAAGTGTGCACGAATTGACCGTATTATTAGTAGATGGCGTCACTGAACCGTATGCGTAGATTGGGAGTTTTCCCCATGTATGGGCTTAAACTGTAGGTTCCGATCTAATTAGGGTAAAGTGTGTACGAATTGACCGTATTATTAGTAGATGGCGTCACTGAACCGTATGCGTAGATTGGGAGTTTTTCCCATGTATGGGCTTAAACTGTAGGTTCCGATCTAATTAGGGTAAAGTGTGTACGAATTGACCGTATTATTAGCAGATGGCGTCACTGAACAGTATGCGTAGATTGGGAGTTTTTCCCATGTATGGGCTTAAACTGTAGGTTCCGATCTAATTAGGGTAAAGTGTGTAAGAATTGACCGTATTATTAGCAGATGGCGTCACTGAACCGTATGCGTAGATTGGGAGTTTTTCCCATGTGTGGTCTCAAACTGTAGATTCCGATCTAATTAGGGTAAAGTGTGCACGAATTGACCGTATTATTAGTAGATGGCGTCACTGAACCGTATGCGTAGATTGGGAGTTTTCCCCATGTATGGGCTTAAACTGTAGGTTCCGATCTAATTAGGGTAAAGTGTGCACGAATTGACCGTATTATTAGTAGATGGCGTCACTGAACCGTATGCGTAGATTGGGAGTTTTCCCCATGTATGGGCTTAAACTGTAGGTTCCGATCTAATTAGGGTAAAGTGTGCACGAATTGACCGTATTATTAGTAGATGGCGTCACTGAACCGTATGCGTAGATTGGGAGTTTTCCCCATGTGTGGTCTCAAACTGTAGGTTCCGATATAATTAGGGTAAAGTGTGCACGAATGGATTGTATTATTAGCAGATAGCGTCACTCAACCGTATGTGTAGAATGAGAGTTCTCACTATGGGCTTAAATTGTAGGTCCCAATCTAATTAGCCAAAACTGTGCAAAAAGTGAGAGTAGAATGACAAACCTAACCGAATCTCCTGATGTTAAAGATCAGACTTCATTGCACACTTTAGACTAATTAGATCAGGACCTACAGTTTAAGCATACATTTTAAGTCATGGGGAAACCTCTCAATCTACACATACCGTTCAGTGACGAAATCTGCTAATAGGATTAGCTGACAAACATATCCTACATAAATAGGTTAATTATTTGAAATATAACACAACTTGATAATTCGTCGATTTCTTTGAAAATGAACCTTACAGCTAGAGTAAGGATTTAAAGGATGTAAAGAATTAGAAAACAATTACATCGAGAGGCGATATTGGATCATTAAGTCAGGTACAGTTGGAAGCTTAGATTGATATCCCAATGTGTTATGTGAAATTATGTATAGTTATCTAATCACGATAACACATATTTGTTAAGGCAAGCAATTTTACACTTTAAAAAAATAATGAAACAGTTCTTCAGCATATGCAACCAATTATTAAAAAAATAAAACTTAAAAAGCGACTTAAAAATTTCAAACAAATTTTAAGTGTTTCGTTATTGAAAAATATGGAGTTTCTGCAAAAGAAAATAATGCTGTTTTATTGGAAAAAAAAATGTAAAATTAATGAAGAAAAAATTATTTTGAACTTTTTGCTAACTTCCTAACATGGCTGGATTCTCTATGTCCATATATTATTTTAAGCAATAGTGATTTTCTGTGCAAAAATTCGATATGGAAAATGGATGAGTTTTTCAAAAGTTTTCATTACGCTACTTAATAGGCTGACTGGGATAGAAGTTTAAATCTGATTAAACTTGGGGCCTTGATTGAGTTTTAGTAATATGATGGCATTAACTGTTTTCTAGGTGCCTGAGAAGAGATGAAATTTAATGCATTTGTTGAAAGTTTCGGTTAAGTTAGTTATTTTGTATAGAATTCTTACATGCAATATTTTGTACACACAGCAATATTTTGTATGGGATTCTAAATTTCCTGATGTTGAATCACTTGTTTGTAATATTTATTTATCAATTGGCGTGAAGATTATATTGAATCATTCGTTTGCATTCAAGACATCAACTGGTGTGAGGATTATGTTGAATCATTCGTTTGCACTCATGACATCAACTGGTGTGATGATTATATTGAAACATTTGTTTGCACTCAGGA